GCCAATGCATGCACGTCCACAAATAACTCTCCTATTAATCGCTGCAATAATTACGGGAGGAGAAAGGTCTGTGCACTTTAATCGAACGTAGAGCACGGAAAAATTACGGAAGTAAATGATGTGCCTTGGTCTTAGTGTTTTGGTCGTTGGGCCTAATAAACCCGGACGGAGGGAGTACTAGTCAAGCTTGTGTCATTAATGAATGAATTACTGAGGAATGAAAAAAGATCATTTAGGTTAGGGTTAAAACTTAACAGCACGACACTTCTTTTCTTTACTTGAGTTAATGGTGTATATAGCTTCCCGCAAAAAGAAAATGGTGTATATAGCACAGGCAAGAGATTTGTCATCTACGAGCAAGCATGACGTCAGGGTGAGCTGTGCTCGCCTAGATAATTGGTGACCACACAACTGATTTCCTTTGTGCAGCACGATAGAGTTTTCATGGAAGAATGATGCATATAGCTATTACAAGTTTTCTTGTTCTGAAGCAGTTTCTCTGAGCATCTGTCATGCAAGTGGTTTCCTATCAGAAGCAGGTGCAAGGTGTACTAGACGTGTGACCACAGATAGTAAATTGTTGAGAATTCAGACATGCAATTACTACCATAATCAATGCTGGACAGGACAGAAACCTACAGGGATTTTGAAGATAAGGTTTGGAATTCTCTCACCGGTGACAATGGATGGTAACCTTACAGCGATTCACCAAACTGGCCACTCGCCCACTCAATCACTGATATACTCCCTCGACGTTCCTAGCTAGTGTGAGCCAGCCAAAGACAAAACACGCGGTTTGGATCATCATTAGCCCTCGTTTTGACCTCTTCTTCTTCCTTCATGTGATGCACAACACTCTGGCCATTAACTCTTGCCACCTCTCTGCAGTAGCGGCGGCAGGAAAATGAAACTGCTCCACACACGATGAGCTTTGGACGATTTGTGCACGACTTAAAAAAATCCACCGCTCGTTGCTCGGCCGTGAACAACATTGCACCGCTGGATTCAATCGTCGGCTGCAAATCGTTCAAATAATGTCGTCTGGATAGCACTAGGCTCAGGCTCTGGCTCTTGCCATCTCTCGGGCCATTAACTGTTGTTTCTTTGCCTCAAGGCAGCCATACGTGGCATTTGTTTTCTTAAGTCCATTGAACTCGGATGATGAACTCTGTAATAATTAGTAAAAGGAAAACATTTACAATCAACCGGCTGAAAACAGCGTCACGTAAACTGGCTAATTCCAAATGAACCTCAAAGGCCCATGTATGACAAGAAGTGGAGTTGCAATATTAATTCCCGCTCAAACTTAAAGGACCGGCTAGGCACTGGCTCAATAGCCTGCACCCTCACTCCATCGGGAGCTGGGAGGCGCTCAAGGACGCCTTTAGGGCAAATTTTCAGGGCATTTATGTTAGGCCCCCGAACGCCGATAACCTCAGGTGGTGTTTGTTTCTCTAGTCCTAGGACTTTTTCTAGTCCCTGGTATTTTTTGAAAAAGACTCTCAAGGAGGTGCTTCTAAGGACTTTTAGCAAAAAGTCCCAAAAAAGTCCCACCCTGTTTGACTTGCTAGGGACTTTTTCTAGTCCCTACACCAAAAAGTCCCTGGAAACAAACACCCCCTCAGTCACATCATTCAACAGCCCGGCGAATCAGCAAAGAAATTATGGAACCGGTTCTTGACTAAGAAGAACCAGATTCTCGATTGCCCTGATGTAGAGGCAATTTCTGCCTTCCGGCATAGTTTCCGGGACGGATGACATGTTGCAAAACAATGTCCACGGCGGAGCTTCTAGCGGTGGCACGAGGAGCTGCAACCAGTTCTTATCATGGTCTCCGCCCCTTTGGTGAAATTTTACAAGGAGCATAGCTTAAATGTTTTGTTCCCACGTACCGTCTTTCAGAGCTACTCCCACCGTTACAAAATATGACTGTTAAGAAGTTTAATTTGAAAGTACGTCCTGCTTTGAGGGAGTGTGCTCTACTTCGGTCTTAATGGAGAAAGCAGACCAACTTTACACTAGTTGAGACAAAACTGTCAGATGAGATGGGGTGGAGGAGCTGGTGGACTATGCACATGTATCGTCGTTTTGCAACCGCAACGCTTGTCTCGCTTGGAAACTAAGGACCTGTTCAGTATCTCTCCGCTTTGCAACTCCGTTGCGGAGCGGAGCGGGCATGCAATTATATTTTGACGAGTGGCTAACAGGGTGATCCGCGTGCCCCGCTTTGTAGAGAAGGAGCAAAGGGTTGCCGAACACAGCCTAGATAATGCGCTGCAAGCCAACGCAGAATTACAAGAGCAGATTTTTTTTAGGGGATAGTGCACTCCGTGCAACTCCCTTGATCTCCGAGCTAGGTTGCTACTCCGTGGGCGCGGTCGAGAGATAGAGAGACATAGATAGGTTCTACCAATAGGTTCAAGGTTTAGTGTGTATTTCCAAATAAACATAAAAGGTTTTGACTTTGAAATGTTATCGCACCTTTTCCCCAGAAAATCCAAAAAAATCACATTGAATCAGAATAACTATGATAGGCCCATAAAAATTATTTCCAGACTAAACTCATTTTCATAAAGATTTTTTTAATAGCTCATTTCCACTCTTTATATCAAATACCCAAAACATTTTCAAATATACCAAATTGCAAGGGTCCTATCTGGAGAAGTCCTTTCATCTCCTCTCTTTATATCAAATAGGAAGGAAAATCAAGATGAACTCCGACTAAAATATGTATCCACCATATTTGAGAAACACATTTCATTCTCACTCTTTGTTTGAGTATGGTTGATTTTTTTAAATGGAAACCACTTTTGAGTTTAAAACAGATATTTCCTAACAAAGAATTATATTCATTCGATAATTAGTTATCCAGGTCTCATAATATGAAATCCTTATATAAGGAAGTCTCTTTCTCAGGGTCTGGGCCGCCACGTCTGGTTTGGCACCTCTCATGACCCTCATTGTATCCCACATCATGTGGATTTCGGTGATGAATAAATGAATATTTCACCCCTCAGAAAAACAATATAAGGAAGTCTCTTCATTTCAGTAAGTGATGGGTATGAGGACAAAATGAGAACCCACACACATGTGCTCGCATCCCTTACCGAGCTCAGGGACCGGCCATGCGTATATTATCCACCAAAATCTCGTACTCTGTAAACAAATATAAGAGCGTTTAGATCACTACTTTAGGGACTTTAGTGATCTAAACGCTCTTATATTTTTTTACAGAGGAAGTACATGACCTGGCATGAGTGGCTTCCTTTCATTGATTTATTTTTTGGGTTTTCTGACCATTAATTTTGCTAGTTGGAAACCTAATTGGGTTAGACCGTGATCCTGACATGCCGGTTCTCCTTTATAAATGACATATCGGCCACCATCGAAGATACATCAAATTGAGCTAGGGCTTTACCCCTTGTTGCTTTTCTGTCGTCATTGTAGTCTACTCCATCCTGATCGCATGCAGGCATCGATTAGGAAAGTCTTGCTCTAGTGACCGCACAAAGAGAGGGCGAATAAGGTTTTTGAGAAGCGCTTCACGCGATTGCTCATGTTTCTTCACCACAGGTCGTCTTCCTCTCAAGTCAGGCAGCGTTATGCATCACCGTCTCCATCGTTGTCCACTTCCGTCGGTATTTGGCAACATCTTCATCAACAACATTGCCCCTGCAATAGCCACAACTATTTCATCTACAAATGAACAGTACGTGTGACATGTTTAAGTCTACTCTTTTAATTATGGTTGATGCATGTATGATGTTGTTGTTCATGTCGTTGGACTAATTAGTGCGATCGACATATACATGGCAATAGTTGCTTTAATCATGATTTATGTTCTTGAATTCAACATAAATTTAACTAATCACCCAACGATCCAAATAGCTTAATGTAGGCAATTTCTTGAATTAACTATGCCTGATTTTTCTGATGCATCAAGGCTGGATAAATTGACCAGTATTGACTTTTAGCCTTTGAAAGTATTCTTTGTTAGTAATGGCGACCTCGAAGGAACGATCTTCGATGATGATCGGAGAAAATTCGTGAAAGCCAATACTATCTTTGTGGAATGTGTCCGATTTATTCAATGCTCGATTACCAGATTATGACAGTTGATGTCAGTCGACTTAACCAATGAAGCTGACACTTTTTGATGGCAGATCACTCTTGTGGTGTTTTCTCAGTAAGACCAATGTAACCGGGTTCTGTCTTTCACAGGCAACATATTTGAAAAACAAAGGTCCCACTCAAGGTTAAGATTCTAATATGGTTTGTAGTACAATAAGCATGCCCTTTGTGATATCCATCATGGCCATGCAAGAAAAGGTGGCCATCGTCACAAAACGTCACGGTCTTAGGCCCTGTTGAGCAAGCAGTAATAATCCAAGGCCTAATCACTTGGCATCTGCCCGGGGAGGCAATGCCACGAGCGGACCACTGTTAAACCACCATTGTGGAGGTGCACTAAACAACAGAGGCTACGACAACAACCACCTCCAGGCTGTGCAGGAGCCCATTGTTTTGTTTTTACCTGCCCTCTGCGCCACATAAAAACGCAGGCACGGGACGTGAGTGCATGGCTTAGGAACCAGGGGGCTACTTATCTTGTGTCCTACTATGTGTCACCCGCCACAAAGAAGCAGCACTGCACTGAGCATGAGGATTGCAAATCCAAGAGGACCATTTCCTCATTATTCTGAGAGCAGTGAGATGCAATGCGCGCGCGCATGATCGGTCCATCGATCATTGTGAGATCACCGGAAGCTGCCTTTTGGCCGCCCACGTCGATCGCACCAACACTTTTCATGATGAACACGGTAGACAAAAAATAAAAGGGACCTCTGTCAGCTCAGCTCACACTTTCTTTCATCAACTCTTTGTTCTTTTTGGACGATGGTCCATACACACGTGAAGACCACCAGTGATGAATGGGAACTTGTAAATGTACCGCTACTTGTCTTTAGTTTGGCTTAAGCACATGCTTTGGCACCAATCAGTCAATCTGCCACCGTCCATGTCATGTCGCCCTCGAAGATCCAATGGCAGACCTCCGTCTTGCCGGGCTCATCGCCCAGGAGCACGAACGCGCCGTGGCTCGGGCTCCAGTCAGACGTGTCAAGGTGACAGATGGCCACCCCGCGGTTGATCTTCTCACCGTCGCCGGCGGCGGCCATGATGTCGGCCTCGTACACCCGCGCCCTGGGCACCGAGTGGCAGTAGTACACCAGGTACGGGAACAGGCTCTGGTGGCACGACACGGCCCGCGCCGCCTTCCCGCCGGTGACGCTGCCCAGCCTGATCTCCGCGCCGCTGCCCGCCGTCGAGGCCGTGCTGCGCACCACGATGTCGTCGCCCAGCATATCCACGGCGAAGTCCACGACGTCCTCCGCCGAGGTCGCGCACCGCTTGGTCTCGCCCCGGCTCGGCGCGCGCCCGCACTCCGCCACCGTGGACGCCACCGCCTTGCCCATCGCCGTGTCCGGCGGCGCCCTGAAGGCCTCCGACACGGCGCTCGCCTCGAACGGGATCTTCCTCGCGATGTCCCTCGGCAGGAACGCCCTGGGCGGCAGCTTGTCCCTGATGTCCGGCATCGGCATCCGGTTCCCCGCCACCAGCTCCCTCTCCCTGAAGAACTTACCCGGCTCCGGAGACCACTTCGTCTTCTTCAGACGCTGCTGATGCTCCTCGGATGTCAATGTCGCCGCCGTCGCCGCCGCCGACGTGTTGTGGTACTCCTTGAAGTCGACGCCGGTCTCGGCGTACGCCTTGAACGTGGTGTTGTCACCGGCGTACCCCTTGAACCCGATCTCGTGGTTGCGGTTGCCGCCTTGCCCGTACCCTTTGAAGTCGACGCTGCCGGCGTTGGCCGACCCGCCGTAGCTCTCGAACTCGGCGGCCCCGCCGTTGGCGCCCTTGCCGACGTAGGACGCGAAGCTGTCGTCCCCGACGTTGGACCCGTCGCGGTACCCCTTGAACGTGTCCACGCCGGCGTTGGCGCCGGCCCCGTAGCTCCGGAACGTGTTCTCCGGCACGTTCCCCTCCACGCCGTACCCCGTGAAGCTGTCGGTGGCGCCGTTGGCCGACTCGCCGTAGTTGGCGAACCCGGAGCTGAGGGTGTTGGTGTCGTTGCCGTACGAGGTGAAGGTCTCCCGCAGGCTGTTGCCGCTCTTGCCGTAGCCGGCGAAGTTGCTCTCCCCGCCGTTGGACTCCTGGGAGTAGGACGTGAACCCGCGGCTCCGCCCGTTGGCGCCGGCGTCGTAGTTGCTGAACCTGGACTCCGGCACGTTGGTGTTCGCGGCGTAGGCGGTGAAGGAGCCCGACCCGCCGGTGGCGCCGCCGGCGTAGGAGGTGAAGTTGGCCGTCACGACGTTGCCGTTGGCCTCGTAGCTGCTGAACGAGTCCGCCCGCGCGGACGAGTCCCGGCCGTAGCGGCGGAACGAGTCGGCGGCGATGTTGACGTCCGGGGAGTAGTTGTTGAACCCGTCGGTGCCGGCGCCGGCGCCGGAGCCGTAGTTGGTGAAGTTGGCGTCCCTGTAGCTCGCGAACGGGCCCTTCCGCGACGCCAACGCCACATCAGAATCAGAATCAGATTCAGAGGGGGACGAGGGGCATAGCAGGGCGGCCTTGGAGCAGAGCGTGGGCAGGCGGGCGCGGATGTCGGGTAGCGAGGAGGGGAAGGAGGCGGCGTCGGCGGCGGGCAGCGGGGAGAGCTTGGAGAGGAAGAAGGCCGGGTGGGGGCGGTTGTTGGGCACCTTGCGGTTCCAGTACCGGATGAAGGCCGCCTTGGCCGTGAACGGGTTCACCGGCGAGGACGCGGCCGCGGCGCCGGCGGCATTGCCAGGGAGCAGCAGGAGGAGGAGTAGGAGCGGGGTGGCGAGGACGGGGCGGGGAGGCGAAGCCATTGGAGGCCAGGACGGAGGTTTGGGGGTTGGGGGATTGGAGCTGGAGGCGAAGAGAGATTAATAGTGAAGGAAGCAGAGTGAGAGTGGGAATGGAGGGAGTGTGGAACTGTGACTCGCAACGAGCATTTGGCATTTGGAATTTGAACAAGCTTTCAAGAGAAGAGAGCATGACCGAGGGAGGCGGGCAGAGGGACACGCATTTACGCGTGATGAATGCTGCAGGTCCGTAGATACTACCATTAATGACCCACTATGTTTCTGGTAAAAATATACTCCCTCCTTTCCGGTTTATAGGGCTTATCTCAAAATTTTAGTTTTTTCATTTTATAAGGCTCAATTTGGTTGTTTTCCATCACATGTTCAGATTTCAAGGTGCATTAATAATCAACTTGATGGAGGCAAATCAGCTGAGCACGGTGTGCTATGTTTTTCAACTTTTCATGCATACAAAATTGCTGAAATTGCTTAACAGTTTGTCTAATCCACATCTAAATATTTTTTAAGGATGTCACATCTAAGCTCAAACAAATATATAATGGAGCAACAAGAAACAAAAAAAAACTAGGACAAGAAAAAAGACCACAAACATAGTTGACATCAGCTTAGATGTGACATAGTTGACATCTAGTGCGGTCCTGAAGTTCTTCAAGGAGGGGGTCATGCCGGAGGGGATCAACGATACTATCATAGTGCTTATCCCAAAAAGCAATAACCCCGAGTACCTTAAGGACTACAGGCCCATAAGCCTATGTAATGTGATATACAAGGTAATATCAAAGTGCATGGTCAATCGCTTGCGGCCTTTTTTGGACAAGATTATCTCAGAGACTCAAAGTGCTTTTATCACAGGGCGTTTGATAACAGACAACGCCACTATTGCCTTTGAATGTTTTCACAAAATCCATCACATCAAAGACCCTGCCAATACGCATTGCGCCCTCAAATTGGATTTGGCAAAAGCTTATGGTAGGGTAGACTGGGGATTCATGGAAAAGACTTTGCTGAAGCTCGGTTTTGACCACAAATGGGTCTGTTGGGTGATGACTTGTGTGAAATCCGTGAGGTACTCTGTTAAATACAATGGGGAACTGCTTGAGATGTTTCTTCCGACGAGAGGTCTCCGGCAGGGAGATCCATTGAGCCCGTACCCGTTCCTTTTCGTGGCGGAGGGCCTTACTAGCCTGCTGAATGAAGAGATTCGACAAGGAAGAATTACCCCTCTGAAGGTTGCTAGGGGAAGCCCCGGAATCTCCAACCTCCTGTTCGCCGACGACAGCCTCCTCTTTTTCAAGGCATGCAGAGAGGAGGCGGTTAATATGAGGCGTATCCTCGATGAGTTTCAGAAGGGGTCGGGACAACTGCTCAGCAACAGCAAGTGCTCTTTTCTTTTTAGCGAAATGTGCCCGGCTGTGACCCAACAGAATATTAAATCTGAGCTAGAGATAAATTCACACACCTTTGATAGCAAATACCTTGGTCTGCCCACTCCAGAAGGGAGAATGAAGGAGGCTGTGTTCCAACCGATTATGGAAAGGTTTGTTAAGAGATGTACAGTTTGGTCTGAGAGGTTTATGTCCCATGCTGCAAAAGAGGTCTTAGTTAAATCTGTCCTTCAGGCCCTCTCTACCTATTGTATGGGAGTGTTCAAAATGACCCAAAGCTTCTGCGACAAATACGAAAAACTGATTCGGGATTTTTGGTGGGGGGATGAGTATGGTCACCGGAAAGTACACTGGATGCCATGGGACCATATGATAAAACCAAAAAGAGGTGGAGGCATTGGGTTCAAAGATATGTCTCGGTTCAACCAAGCCCTTCTTGCTAAACAAGCTTGGAGACTGATTCATAGACCTGATTGTCTGTGCGCGAGAGTTTTGAAATCTAAGTACTATCCGCACGGTGATTTGGTAGATACGGTGTTTGCTTCAGACGCATCTCCTGTCTGGCGGGGCATTGAGCATGGTCTGGATCTTCTCAAAGCAGACCTTGTTTGGAGGATTGGTAACGGCAGGAAAGTGAACATCCAACGAGACAACTGGATCCTGCGGGACGAGGGTCTGAAACCAGCTACCTTCATCCGTCGCTCCGGACTTCGGTGGGTTAACCAATTAATGCAACCAGATGGTAGTGGCTGGAACAAGGAACTGATCCATCAGGTGTTCTACCCTTTTGATGCTGAAGCTATATGTAGTATTAAGTTACCAGCTTCTGATGCTGAGGACACTCTAGCTTGGCACTATGAAAAATCTGGAAACTTTACGGTTCGCAGCGCATACAGACTGGCTTATTCCATCAAGTATGAAGCCTGCCTGTCGGCATCCAGCTCTACAAACAATGCCAACGACCGAAGCATTTGGGACATTATTTGGAAAGCAAAGGTGCCAGAGAAAATTAAGATCTTTGGGTGGAGGGTGGCCACTACTACCTTGCCTACGAAGAAGAACAAGTGGAAACGCACACTTGAAGTTCATAGCACTTGTAACATCTGTGGTAATGATGAAGAGGATGAATTCCATGCCGTCGTTTCTTGCACTAAGAGTAAGGCTCTGAGAAATGAAATGAGAGGGATCTGGGACCTGCCAAGTGAAAAACTCTTTGGGTACACCGGTGTGGATTGGTTGCAGAACCTTCTTCTCCCTTGCAATTCTGAGACTAGGTCGAAAGTCCTTTTACTTCTCTGGCGGTGCTGGTTTCTTAGAGATGATTGCATTCATAATGAAGGAAAGGAGTTCATTGGCCGCTCTGTTCTGTTCCTTCAGCAGCTTGAAATCGAGTTGATCAGCTGCAGTACCACTTCTGACACTATGAATGGCAAAGGAGTCTGCCGGCAAACGCCCCAATTTTTGGCCGGTGAAGGACATTCTCTTGTTCTACCTGGTTCGGGCGCGACCGTCGTCGCAGATTCTGTCCTCTGGACTGCCCCTCCGGCTGGTACAGTTAAGCTGAATTCGGATGCGTCCTTCTTATCCAGCAGTAGCATTTCCTATGTTGGGGCGGTTGCTCGGGATCATAAGGGTGCTGTTATATTTTTGCTGTCTAAGAGGACCGATTGCTGTTCCGGCGTAGAGAAAGCAGAAGCTCGAGCTCTTTTGGCGGGGCTGTAGGCTCTGTCTGTTATCTACAGGGGGCCTCTGATTGCTGAAACTGACTGCTCCGTCCTCGCATGTGAGCTGCAACCTGGCTCTATTTGCAGGTCAGCCTGGTTCCCTGCGTCATGTGATATTAAGATGGAGTTCCTGAAGTTTCAGGTTGTTCAGATTGCCCATTCTAAGCGAATCAGGAACAAACTAGCTCACGGGCTAGCAGCGCGTGCAAGGAATGGCGAGAATATGCAGATGGTGGCGCAAGTCCCTGATGATCTGATGGACGTGATGATGGCTGATGCCTTGTCATGCCAAGAGTAAACTGTAATTGTTTTACTCTTTTCCCTCAAAAAAAAATACTATTTTTTTATTTTACTGTTTACCTGACCAAGCTCATGCGCTCCAGAACGTCCACCATCAATCCAACAGTCCATGATAGAAATTTCCATATTTTCACTGAAAAGCCATTTTCACCTGATACTTGGCCCCCAGTAAGTAGTTTTGTTAATTCACTCTCTCTCGTTTTGTTAGTTCGTAGTGTCAGCATCCAATTTCTCAAGTTTTACACAAAATATGGTATTAAATTCTTTTTTAGAAGAATTGAAATTTTCTATAATACCCTCAAGACCACTGTAACATAAAAAAAACTTTTGGAATGTTGAATAAGTAAATATTATTACGTGGGTTGCTTTGATTTTTAGAAGGATCTAAAACTTTTGGATTTCATATTCAAATTTATCCAAACCATGTTATGAGACCTGGATAACTAATTATCGAATGAATATAATTCTTTGTTAGGAAATATTTGTTTTAAACTCAAAAGTGGTTTCCATTTAAAAAAAATCAACCATACTCAAACAAAGAGTGAGAATGAAATGTGTTTCTCAAATATGGTGGATACATATTTTAGTCGGAGTTCATCTTGATTTTCCTTCCTATTTGATATAAAGAGAGGAGATGAAAGGACTTCTCCAGATAGGACCCTTGCAATTTGGTATATTTGAAAATGTTTTGGGTATTTGATATAAAGAGTGGAAATGAGCTATTAAAAAAATCTTTATGAAAATGAGTTTAGTCTGGAAATAATTTTTATGGGCCTATCATAGTTATTCTGATTCAATGTGATTTTTTTGGATTTTCTGGGGAAAAGGTGCGATAACATTTCAAAGTCAAAACCTTTTATGTTTATTTGGAAATACACACTAAACCTTGAACCTATTGGTAGAACCTATCTATGTCTTTCTATCTCTCGACCGCGCGCACGGAGTAGCAACCTAGCTCGGAGATCACGGGAGTTGCACGGAGTGCACTATCCCCTAAAAAAAATCTGCTCTTGTAATTCTGCGTTGGCTTGCAGCGCATTATCTAGCGGTGCTGTGTTCGGCAACCCTTTGCTCCTTCTCTACAAAGCAGGGCACGCGGATCACCCTGTTAGCCGCTCGTCAAAATATAATTGCATGCCCGCTCCGCTCCGCAACGGAGTTGCAAAGCGGAGAGATACCGAACAGGTCCTTAGTTTCCAAGCGAGACAAGCGTTGCGGTTGCAAAACGACGATACATGTGCATAGTCCACCAGCTCCTCCACCCCATCTCATCTGACAGTTTTGTCTCAACTAGTGTAAAGTTGGTCTGCTTTCCCCATTAAGACCAAAGTAGAGCACACTCCCTCAAAGCAGGACGTACTTTCAAATTAAACTTCTTAACAGTCATATTTTGTAACGGTGGGAGTAGCTCTGAAAGACGGTACGTGGGAACAAAACATTTAAGCTATGCTCCTTGTAAAATTTCACCAAAGGGGCGGAGACCATGATAAGAACTGGTTGCAGCTCCTCGTGCCACCGCTAGAAGCTCCGCCGTGGACATTGTTTTGCAACATGTCATCCGTCCCGGAAACTATGCCGGAAGGCAGAAATTGCC